ACCACTACAACAACTCCGGTAGCTACTACTACGACGACTACTACTACAACAACTCCAGTACCCACCACTACAACAACTCCAGTACCTACTACTACAACGACCCCAGTACCTACCACTACAACAACTCTGGCTACAACCACTGAACACGATCTTACTCCTGCGGAAATTTGCGAAAATTCTGGCACATCGGGTACCATTGCCTACCCTGGCGATCTTACATGTAAAATGTAAATTTTTTAATTTTGTGTTTTTTGAAGCATTCAAATAAGTTTCGGAATTTTAGGTCTGTTCAGTGTAGCGAAACTAATAATGTTTGGAATGCAGTCGTAAATACATGTCCTAGAAATCAGTGGTTTGATCCTACTTTGAAATTTTGTACCACAACATATAGTTGTCCCACTCAGAGTACTTCAACCACGACAACGTCAACCACAACACAAGATCCAACCACAACTACTGCGGCTGCACTTACTCTGGAGCAAATATGCCGAGACCACGGCAGGGCAGATACAATTGCTGCACCCAACGATAGTACGTGTACAAAGTAAGCAACTTGAATATTCTCCAAATTTATAGCTTGATTGATTTAATAAAATTGCAGATACATCGTCTGTTCGAGGCCTGGAGCTAGTTGGATTGCTCAGGAGTACACTTGTAGGGTTACATTTGATCCGAATACAAAAAAATGTAGCACTACATATGTTTGTCCAACGTACAGGTATCGGCGCACTTAAAAGCGCCTCTTGCGGAAATATATTCACATAATATAAATTGTGAAATAAGTTTTATGAAATACATACATCCTGTTTTCAACTTTGTAAATTTCACGACAAGAATCACATTCATTTAAATGAATAAACATGATACCTAAGCACATAAGTTAAATTAAATTTTCATTCAATAGGAACATTTGTAGGTATGAGACTAAGATGGTTATGTATGGCTCGTTGACAGCTTATATGACAGCTAAACCCTTCTTTTTCGGAAACTGCACCGTTCTTTGCAAATTAATCCATGCCAAACACTTTAAAGAGAAACAGAGGTACAGTTTGTATGCCAGCTTTATGCTATAGTGGTCCAACATCTTACATTTTAAGATTCGACAAACGAGCAGCTTCTTGATAAGAAGTTGACGTGTGTAATATTTCAGATCGATACCTCTAAAACTGAGCTACTTAGCTCGCTATATATAAACCGCCCGCTTGTCTGGCCAGGGCTAATTCGACTTAGGTTATCATGCGAATCTAATTAATAACCAAACAACTATGTCCAACTTTTACTATGAAAGCGCGCTGCTAAGTTCGTCACTTACTCAATACTTTTGTATATAAAGGTTGATCTATTTCGAGGATCCTTACTTAAAAAAAAAAAAAAAAAAACACAGAAACTTCAAATTTAATAGGAAGTGTTGGAAAGAGCATTCTTTGGCATTTTTTTCAAAGGTTATCTCTTTTAAATGTCGGCCGCTGTTATGTCTCAGATGGACCATCCATTGAGTCCAACTTTTGATGATTCGTTCGAAGATTTCGACTGGTTTCTGACGAAACCCGAAAGCGATTTTTTGCCTCAAGACCTGAACCATTACAGGAAAAAGTTTAGCGATGTCATACCACACAATTTTAGAGGCTACTCGACTGGCTCAAAACGTGAAATTATCTGGTCACCGAAGTGAAGTGAATAAATCCATTGATTGATGCAATTTACATGGATCACCCTTTATAATTATAAATAATCAGCGTGATGAGCTGAGTCGATTTAGCCATGCCTGACTGTCTTTCCGTCTATCTATCGAATGTATATACGAGAACTAGTCCACTACAGCAAATAGCTGTCATTTAAACAGACGGTTCAAAATTAAGAAAAATATATTCTTGTACCCTCTTATGCCATAAATGCTTTATCTTCCAACTTTACACGATTTATGGCTTGTATAGAATAGTTACTCAAGAGCAATATATAAAATACATAAGTCAGTAAAATCTAAAATATTTTATTGTTTACTGTATATGATATTAAAAAAAGTTTAAATCCTTTTTTTGATTTTCACAAGTCAAATAAAATATCAGCAATCATCCGGGCGTACCGTTTGACATGCTTGTGTTGCAGCATTAAAATAGTATTGGCAAGTGTACGGATAGCCTAGGTATTGACCAGAAAGCCGGTAGCAGTAAATATATCTAAAAAAAGTGATGAAAAAAGCAATGAAAAAAGTTGATGAAGAAAAATTAATTACAGAAGAAATAAATATGGTTAAGTGAATTTTCAAAGATAAAAATGTATCATTGTTTTCGAATACTTCTCAAATTCATTAGTTAAGCTAGTTGGAAAATATACTCCGTTCGATTTTAAGATTTTTTGGCTAATTAAAGTTAATAATATTCCGATTAAGTGTTGCCTTGGAATATAACTTAGATACTTAGAAAATGTCGTATAGTCATCATCTATCATCAGAATCTGAACTGAGCCATTAGAGATATAAGTAAAAAATTGTTATTTGATATACACACCTGGCACATGTTGTGTCACCCTTTTGTCTAAATTTTCCTGTTTCACCCATTTCAGCACAAAATGTGTTGGCATCTACAGGGGCTTGAGTTGAAATTGATGTTGCAGTGGTTGTTGATTCGGTTGTAGTATCTGTTGTTGCAACGGTTGTTGTATCCATTGTTGAAGCAGTTGATGTTTCCGTTATTTTATCGGTTGTTGAGTCAGTCGTTTTATCAGTTGTTAGGTCGGTTGTCGTATCAGTTGTTGTATCGGTTGTTGAATCAGTTGTTGTATCGGCTGTACTATCTGTGGTTGCATCTGTAGTTGAATCGGTGGTTGAGTCGGTTGTTATATCGGTTGTTGATTCAGTTGTTATATCGGTTGTTGAATCAATTGTTGTACCGGCTGTTGAGTCGCTTGTAGTATCCGTTGTTGTATCTACTGTTGCATCGGTTGTTGTTGTATCGGCGATTGGGCACGATGGCTACAAGAAATAAGGTGCGAATCCGATGACCTTTGCCCAGCAATAATAGAAGCTATCTATTACTATTATAATGAAAATTATACTCACATTTACAGTTTGCGCAGACGAACAAATTTGTGGGTTATTCAAATCACATACATATCCCAAGGGACAGTAATCAATGGAACTCTGATCTGGTGTTTCGCCATTATAGCAAATAGCATAGATGGCTTCGTCGAGACAGGCGAAATTCTTTTGTGCAGATGCGCATGTTCCACACTGCTCCTCATAGCAAACGGGCACAGCGCCCTGGGCGGTGGCCTGACATATAGCCGTGTTAGCTGTGCAAACCCTGCCTGTAGGACAGGGCGTAGACACATTAATCGGCGTGCCGTCCACACAAATAGCAAAGTTCTGCTCGTCCAGACAAGCCGCCTCACTCGCAAAACACTCGTTGCATTGCCCGGTGAGAGCTGCGTGGCTGAAGTGTTCGTTTGTGATGAGGAGTAGCTTCAATTGAAATGACACCGAATTGCATAAAAAATTACTTTTAGCTCATCACATGCACACACATAAATACTCAACTCACTTTTGTAAGCACGATGATAAGTAAACGCTTCGAGTCCACGTGGTAGAACATTTTGTTTCGCGTCTGCCGCAATAGCTTGCTTAGCGTGTAACTTTAGTTTTCTATCTGTTTTGAACTTTGCTTAGTGCTCATCTTTTTTAACAACGTCAATCAATGATATCTCCATATATTGTTTGCTGATATTTTTGATAGTGTGCAAATAGTACCGTGAATATTTAGCGTTTACAGATTACTGGCGTTTTGGGCCGTGCTTCTTCACCCATGTTGAGGGGTCAGTAGGGTAATATTTTTTTTTTTTTGCATTTTCTGTTCCCTTATGTCCTTAGAATGAATGTAGAAACCGACTTTACCATTGGAAGGTTTCAAAAAGGGCCTAGAAATAATACTACCGCCCGACGTTCCGTGCGCTCGAAGTGTACTCCTCAAACTTTAAACGCGTTTTTCTCAAAACACTCATTTTTAAACTGGCGGACATGAATCCGGTCGATCTGCTCAACCGATGTGTTTAATTTTTTATTTAAATGTTGAAAAAAAAAACGCCTGATTTATTGATAATGTTATGACAAAATTTATGTAAAAAACATGGAAAAATTTAAAAAAAATTTAATTACTTTTTTATTTATCAACATTTTTTTATGATTCTAATAGCGACGATAGCCATTCACGTATTTCTTAAGAATAAATTGTTATACAGTTATTTTTCCTACAGATGTTATAAAAAAATTCCGAAAAAATTTGTTTATACACTCTACGATATATTTATGTACCTCATCATATGTGAAAAAAGTTCTATTGTAGAATAAAAATTTCTATGAAAAAAGTAAATTCAAAAAACAAAAAAACAGGCCAGATTACCCGACTGACCCCTTAAACACTTTACGTTTTAAGAAGGTGCTGTAGTAATAAAATGTTGAAAATATTTTTTCCATAATTTGATAATTTAAATATTCAGTAATGTTTGCCTGAAAGGATTTTGCAAAATTAAATTTTTTTCCTAAGTTATAGCGGTTTTAGTCTCATGGCAACTGGACCGGTTTAGCGGTCGAAGAAATTTTAAGATTACATAGGTTTACGGGTTTAAAAAACAATCGTTTTTTATGATCTTATTAAATTTAGCAATACCTCTAGAATAGTATCCTAAGTTTTCAAGTTGATACGAGTAATAGTTTCGGAGATACAGCTTTGATAACTTGTGCGTATAAGGATAGCTAGGCCAAGTGCGCCGTCCTTAAAAGCGTTTTTGTCGAAACTGTGTTTTTGAAGTCGGTTTGCAAGATTTCTCAACTCAACTCTCTCTCTCTTCGCAGCTGATCTTCATGAAATTTTACATAGGTTTTTGAGATATAGTTAAAGACTTAGATGAAGGCTTCTTTCGATTACAACAGTTTCAAAAAATAATATCGAGAAATTTTCGCTGAAATTTTAGTTCTTTTGTGAAAGTGTTTGCCAAAATTCAGTTTTTTTCCTTCATCTAAGTTCCAAGTTAAAGTTTTAACTAAAACTCGTATGTTTTTTCACTTTAGATGATCTTGTAAGGAGTTATCCTGCCAATGCGGACGACACTTTTTTCCTAGGGGCCACCAGAAATGGCGTCGCAATGGCCGAATTTACAATATTATTATTTTTTTAATTTCACAATTTCCTTGTTAGTAGTGTATGTTTGTAACAATAAGAAATTCTAATAAAAATTTTAATTTTTTACGGAAAGAACATCATTGAAAAATGTTGATTTTTACCTGAGTAAACTCATCTAACCCCTAAACACTTAGAATTATACTTCCAGTTTTGGATTTGCCTATAAACTACTTACGAGTATTATCGACAACAACACTTCATTTTATATATTGCCATTTTCGGGTTTGAACATGCGATCTATCGTTTGCCGTTCACATACTCGTCACTCTCCGCCTTTCAAAGTTGCCCCAGCAAAGTATTGAGCTAAAAAACTGATTTTACATAATAATATATGCCAGTTTGAAAGATAAGGTCACATTTCGGAATTTCTTGTTAATTTTCGACACAGATATTTATAAAAAAATAGATATTTTCGTACTCAATATAAAGACTTGTTTACTCTACTCCATTTAATCAGTTGAATCGTAAAAGAAATCATTAAAATGGCGTGTGAAAATAAACACAGATAAATATTATTTTCAAGTTTATTTGCTTAGTCTGATTTCCTTTAACCACTTCATATATTTTATTGTTATATGCCAAATTTTTGTTGTATTACTTTTATGTGTGTGCATTAGAGAATGACAAATGGTAAAATTTTTATGGTATCTCGGAAGTACCACCGTGGGATATGTATACAGTAGGCGTCATTGGATTAGCTCTCGATTGAGTTCATTGTAAATGATTCATATTATTAATTTGAAATTTTGTTGCGTTTATTATTTTTATGAAACATTTTTATTGGATATAGATTAAAGCAACTTAGACTTATTTGGGTTTCTAATTATTTTGTGGTATATGTAAATTATCCACCATACTTACATAATATGGATTAAGAGTGCATGAATGATACCCGAACATAAAAGCGTGATATTAGAATGTCAACAAAACTACAGAGATCGGTACGAAATATCCGCGATAACAACTCAGAGCCGACTTCGTCTTTATTTGGTATGAAATCACTTTATGCTAAGCACAGCTGAGTTACAATATGCCGTTCTCGTGACGCGTAGTGTACCTTTATATAAGTATGTATTAGCGATGAAATGCGACAAATAAGAATTTCGAGAGCTGTGAAGGGTGTGTAACACGTCTTTAAATTGTTAAAATTTTTATAAGTGTGTTATTTTGCGTGACTATTAACCTATTAACCTATTGCCCTGTTTTAAATTATTTATGTTTGTGTGTTTCCCAGCAAACTTTTTTATTGAGAACCAAATTTATGTTCTCCCCTCAGTTCCTTACTATCAGGTTATACTGTTTTATTGCTTCACACAAATTTAACAAGGACTGACAAAAAAAATATATTTTTTTCAAACTAGGATTCTGTATCTCTCATTTGTTATAAGTCTAGTCTATGAGTATCGTGATCAGTGAATTTTTTTCAAATTTTCAAAGCGCCATTCGCTGTATTCACCTCTTGTCATAAGTAATGCTGCGTTAGGTGAACAGTGGCCGGCTACTTTGTCAAGCTCCTTTTTGCTAAGGAGTTTAGCACTAATACGCTTTAAGTATACCCAAAACATTAACCAACATTTGTTGAGTCGATGCACAACATAACCATGGTAAATATCGCCAGACAAACTGCTAAATAAACAAAAATTTAAATATGGAGATCAAAGTTTATGAACAAAAACAAAATTTGTCTTAAATTAGGAAAATATTTTTTATCGATTAGGTTTGCGAACACCAATTCGAGACATGACATTCTAATGTTCCAGCTTAAAAAATCATTGGAACTATATACTACGACGGCGACACTTATATATAAATTGCAATTTAAAGGCCTCTCTTTATAATATATATAATATTTATACAAATCAAGCACCATTAAATATTTTGGAATAAGTTTTTTCTCAAATAGTGTGTAGGGAAATGGTCAAAATAATGTTATAAAGTTTTCAGATACCCTACCGTAGTTGTTAAGTAACAATATCAGTGAAGATGTATGAAATATTGTGTTGCTACAAAGTATGACTGTTTTGTACGCCTAACGGTTGTTAGTATCACCTAAATCTAAACGAAATAGATATGGAGTTATATATTTACATAGTAATGACCAGGTTGGTGAGACGAGTTGAATCCGGAGTGACTGTCTGTCTGTCCGAACGTCACACAACGCACAAGCGAAGATTTGAGTAAAATTGAGATAACTTAGTGGTACACGCGTTCCTCGGCAAAGAAGTGAGGATGAAGCGTAGTCGTAATATTGCCGAACCCACAAAATGCCATTAATCGAAAAGGTTAAGATATAAATCTCTAATTTGATACAGAGGATTGCAGTAGCAAGGGGCGCCTGTGGGCCAACATTTTTGAAAAAATTTACCGACATGTTAAAATTGGATGAAATTGGAAAATAACCCGGCCCACTTCCCATATAACAGTTATGTTAAGAACTACTAAAAGAGCTATAAAACAATAATTAAAAGCGGTAGAGGCAACAAATTTTACTACCAGACCATTTTTAAATACATTATTATCTTACAGTGTTATTATTTCATTCTTATAAATAACTTAGTAATACTATGTAACATCGTGAAGATGGGCCGTTGCATAGTGTTATTTGACCGATTAAAGGACGGGGACGGAGAAGCTTTTTCATGTGCATATTTTATATTTTTGTCAAATAAAAGTATGCTTTTTCGAACATTTAATCGCTTAAAGTTTACCATCTATCAATTGTCTATAAAGTTTAATTTACGCAAAATACAATCGAGTATTTGTATAACATTACATGAACATCAATCATCATCGTTTACCATACGAGCATCTCTTTGGTTAAAAGATTGTGACGTCAAGAGATGTGCAGAGACGAATATGGGAAACACAGACAGACCGAAAGTCACGTATTCATTTCTATAAGGACGAATTGATTATTTGTATGTGTACACTAAATAAGTAAATATACCATATATATACATATATATGAATGTATACACAACGTACAATAACAATTCTAGTGCGGTTTTATTAAATACATTGCTGAGGAATGTATTCCGACAGATTTTTAAACAAGAAAAAAATTAATTTCGGAAGCTAGAATACTCTTCACAAGTAAAAAGTACAAGTATAATGACTATATTTTAGTAATTCCGTTTGTATGGTAGCTATACGTGTATGCTATAGTGGTTCGATATTGGCGGATTCATCAAATGAGCAGCTAATTGGGAAGTAATGGACGTGTGTCAAATTTCAGAACGATAATGCTTGATAATGTTTTCAAAATACAGCGGTGTGAACTCCTAATATAATCACAAAACGAACGTGGAAGAATTCCACATAAAAATTAGTAAATCTAAAGCATTCCCTTACAAAACGTTGTATGCTGTTCGATCTATAAGAAAGACCTCACATTTGCATCCATTCAAAATATGATGCGAAATGGTAATTT